GGGGGGACTCTTATTAGTACATTATCTTGTTTTAGATGATTTACTTAAAAACGACACAGTAGGCTAATAAGAAAATGTTTATTACAGTGTGTAGTCGCGTGCAGCATTTTTAGGCAGCATGCGCCCGATGTACAAAAATGCTGCCTAGGTAGGCAGTACACTAGGTTTTGAGATACAGCCAAAGACATGCACATTCACCAGAGAGGTAATAATGTTACATTCTCGTTTCCTTGTCCTTTCCCCTTTTTCGGATCAGCACTACTGATCCTCTTCCTGTCAGTGCCTGTCCTATCAGTGGGACAATTGTTATTACCAGTGGCTGATATCCTGGTTTTCCTTGAATCCTTTGCGTCAAACGCCATCTAAGCTGGATCAAAACATGCATCACATTAGAGAATAATCGACTGTATTAATAGCCGATTCTCTTACCTTTCTTTCATATGCTGCATATCACACGACCATTAATCCATCATAAATCAGATATCGCTGCCTGACTCGATGGCGTTTCCCACAACGTTGCAGGACGCATGAGGGAAAGTAAATAAATATATCAGTAGCAGCAGCAGCAGCAGCAGCCCTGCCCGTTATTTCCTTGCGGAGGTGATGATGATTTGATATGTCGATGTTGCCATAGAGATGTAAACCTTTCTCAGTAGCAAACCCGTGAAATACCACTTCACATGTGTATGGAAGGAAATATTAAACAAGTGAATTTCATGCCCTAAGCCTAAAATAACAGCCCGTTCATTCGGTTTCTCCACACAAAGCTTGCCTCCCACTCGCTGTCTCTTTCTCTCTCACATGCACACGCACACAAAACAGACCAATCCCATTTAAAGAGATAGCAGCAAAAATATCAATAATGCATCGCTTTGGGCTGGTGAGCATTGAATGTTTTGTGAGCGTTGGTTGTAACTCTTCCGTTAGAGAAAGATGAAGGCATTGTTTCATTATGTAACCACATATTTACATGCTTTCTGAAGACGCATACATGCATAATATATTACACAATGGAACACAATGTTATCCATCTTCATATGGCAGGTAGTTCTAGTAATTAAATTAGTTTGGCGTTCCATAAGTGTTGATATTTAGTATGATCACCAGTGTTCAGTGTTGTTATCTTTTTATCCTCAAAAGTAAAATGACTAATTTGCCCATGGGTATGCATAAAGGTACAATCACATTAGCAAAATTGACATTTCATGGGCAAACAGATTCAATGCCTTTTGTCAGTAGTATAGGCTATATATATATATATATATATATATGTGTGTGTGTGTGTGTGTGTGTGTGTGTGTGTGGATATCATACCGTGTGGAACACTAAATATGACCTCAATGTAACACATCAGAAATTCTCTGGAAAAAAGTTGTATTTTTATACAATAATAATGCATATTTATTTGCATTTAAATCAACGCTTATTTACATTTCTTTCAATAACATATTTAAGGTATCTCTGCAATGTATGCCTAATCCACCAATTTTTAGTCTGTGGATTGTAACATTCTGATGATGCTTTGGCTTCTATTGGAACTATTTAATGGGCAGGTAAGAAATATATAAACTAATTAGCTGCTTTTGTCTAAAAGGCAAGTTACTCGTTCTTAACATTGAATTAACTTGGAATTTTGTATGAAAGCAATATCACAGTTGCAGATTTTTTGTTGGTCTGAAATGAGCATGGCCTGTGATGGCCTTGTGCCTACAGCCGAATCACAGCTGTGCTGATCTTTTAAAATGCATGACCAATTTTGAGGATGATATTACTTGACTAAACTATATGAGTGAATGTTGTATGCTCACTGTCTGTACTTTTCTAAAAACGAACAAAAACATGATTCTTTTTTGGGGTGGAGTCAGCAGTCATCTGAATCTGTTTTAACTATTGAACTAATTACAAATGTAATACTTAGTAACTTAATATTTAAATTACTAATATATGTTTTGGATCATTTAAGGACACTGTAGTGTGCGCTAGCAGATTGTTTGACTCATGCACACTCCAATCAGTCATTTCAGCATTGCCCAGAGGCATAGGATGTATCCGACGCCCATTTTAGCTGCCTTTACATAACATCTTCATGCTGGCTTCAGTACTCAGCCAAGAAGTCTGCATCTCCTGCAGCAGTTGTTTGGATAAAATTTCTGCCGAGCACCAGCTAGACCCGCTCACAGACCGCTTTACACCTTTAATCAGCAGGTCTGTCAAATGGCTGCTGGTGAGTTGCAGCGTGCGGCTATATGCTCGGCCGCAAGAATTCTTCGGTGCTACCTTTACTCGTTATGCATGCTGAGCGCATCCCGTGTCAGCCTCCACACAGAGTCAGAGAGCTAGAGAGCTATCTATTTATAGCCTGCTCACTTGCTCCCACCCACTCCCAGCCTCCCTCATTGGACAGAGCCTGCACAACAAATGAAGAAATCCTATATGCCTATTAGGATCCTACTCAGTCCTTCAGCATAAATAATGGAGGGATTTTGGTGTGGGGAGAAGAAGTGCACCTCCTTAATAATGCATGAGCGTAGGGGCAACTGTGCCTCACTCTTCCAATGGACGAAGGTGGGGTGGATGGGCATGTGACTGTATTGTGTTTAATCATCTATTTAGGGTATAGGGTCTCCCTAGCCATCTGGCATACTGAATTTGCCTCTTTAGAGGGTTGCCCTGGGGATTTGCTTAGTTCTTTTAAATTGAGTCCGAAGCAGTGTTGTCCTAAATCTAGTTTTTCCTGCACTTTTCCTTTCCTGGGTTGCATGTTTTTGTGGGCCTCTGTAAGGGCCCCTCTCAGGCTCTCCGTGGCTGGCACCAATCTCATCAGTCATGACTTCATGCCATACAAAGGATTCCCTCACAATCAGGCCCCATCCTCGCAGATTCGGCTCACCATTGGTGTGCGTGTCCGTGTACTTTAACTGCAAGTCTAGGGAATCTCATAAAGATGTGCTTACTCTGGATTATTGTACAAAGCAGCTCAGAGAGGGAGACGGTTATGGTTTTATGGCATGTCAATAAAAACGAGGTATGTGAGGGACCAAGTTATAGCTGCAAAAACCTGATATTTTCCACTTTCTGCTTCCGTTCTCTTAAACCAACACTTGCGAATTTGTCAGGAAAATTCAGTAAAGTGGTCCAGGTTTTCTTCACAGTTGATAATGCAAATAAGAGTAATTCACCAGGATTTCACCAGTGGAGAATTAGGAGTGCCATATTAATAGGAGTTAGTCATCCATGTATTATTTCAAATATAAAAATATAAATAAATCACTTTTCAAATTGTCAAATAAAAATTAACGAAAGCAAATGTTGTTATTAATGTGACAGCAAATTATAGATTGATAAGAATAGTTTCATTGTGATCTTGTGAAGAGTTATGGGGCCGGATACATAGTCTTAACTAATTTCAGTTAGCTAATTTTTCTTTAAGACTGGTCATAACTTCTGAAAGTCAGTTATAAAAATGGAGAATTGTCTATCCAAAAAAGAAAGTCTGATTACCTCTTGGATACTAGTTGGTCAAACTAGTCCTGAAGACACAGTCTTAACAAAGTGGCTGTGTTCATGCAACCGGCCTATGATAAAAAGATTTAATTAAGGCTTTTATTCACATATGCATTTCAATTATAGGTCTCAGTTTTCATTTAAAATATCTTAATTTGGATCTTAAAAATTAACCGATGTCTTATAAACATGAAAGTGAGGAAATTATGACAGAATGTAAATTTTTTGGGTGACACATCCTCTAACGCAGGGCATGGCTGTGAGTGAAATGTGTGAAGAGAAGTTGCAATTTTTAACTCTTTTTATTAATTTTTTATTTTTTTTCAAACACGCTTCTCTCAGTACAAACATGCCTTTACACCGTGTTTGTAATCGAGAGAGAACACTTTATATGGCACTCCTAGTCCTCCATACAACTTTAATTAAATGCCAGCATGAAAACAATGCAAAGTATGTGGCCATTTGTACCTCCCATCTTATTTTTTAGTGCAGATCTCTTTTTTTTGTCGTGAGGTGGTGAATGACAACTGCATTGCCTAATTATGCAAAAGTCAAAGAATACAAAGAGTGGAAGACACCTGAAAATGCTTCTCTCATTTGCACAGTCAAATCAATCCACCAACGGTAAACTGTGGTCAGGAGAGTTGTGATAACAGCGTAAACCTGAGAGTGAGTTTGACAATCTGTGTGTGTTAAACTAACAAACATCTGCAGGATATTTGAACCATATGAAAATGACTGCAACCGTTTCCAAAAAGAATTTTTTCTTTTTGGAAAGTCAGGACAAAGAAAAGGGAATCTTAGGGAATCTTTCTGCAGGGTTAATGTTTGAGTATTATAAAAAGAAAATTAATAAACTAAAAATTTTTAAAGTAATATGTATTTATTTATCAAATCCCCCCCCCCCACACACACACACACATATACTGCATATACAGTATATTAGTGCTGTCAAATGATTAATCGCATCCAAAATAAAGGTTTTTGTTTACATAATATATGTGTGTATACTGTGTATATTTATTAAGTATATATAAATACAAAAACATGCATGTATATATTTAAGAAAAATATTTTATGTTTATATGTTCAATATATTTATATATAATATAAAATATAAGAATATAAATATATACATGTAAATATTTTCAAAATATTGACTATATGTGTGTGTATTTATATATAGATAAATATACACAGTACACACACATATATTATGTAAACAAAAACTTTTATTTTGGATGCGATTAATCATTTGACAGCACTAATATATATGTATGTTTTATTGTGGACTTTGTATTTTCCCCATTTTGTCAAAATTAGTTTAAAAAATGCATTTTTGTTTTATCAGCAGATTAAGGCTTTTCAGAATATTCTAGTATATCATACTTGAGAGATGTGGCATGATTCATAAAGCAGGATTTCAAGCTGTCTGTGTATTTTTATTATTTTTTATGTAGCAAGGGTCAACAACAACCAATCAGATCGCTCTCCACTCAAGCCTCGCTCTCCATCCAGATGTCACCACAGGCCTCAACAGCTGGAACGATGACTATAGGGTGGGTGTGTAACATGTTCAATTCAGCAATGCTCTGAATTAAAGCAAACCTCATGGAAGAGGATGCAACTGTCCATTGATTAATCAAACGAACAAGGGCACAGAGTATTAGCATGTAGATCTTACTTTAACACACCAGCCCTCCTCCATGTGTCCTGTGTAATTTAATCCCTTAGGCGGCAGATTTCGTGAATAAAAATCTGTTGCATTGCATCACATCACTCTTTGTGACATAACAGCAATTTGATTCGCAGGGCCGTGTACTTTCACCATGACTTAGAGACTGATCAGCTTGCCAGTCCAGCAACATGCTGCACTGCGGATGACTCAGCCACAACTGTTGCCATAGAAACCAGCCTCCTTTGCAATCAGTCTCTTAGTAACAGTGTTGTTGCCAAGTAACCGTATGTGAGAGTGTGTGTGTGTGTGTTTGTGTTTATCGAGTTACATTCAGATTTCTATGTGAGGGCTTGTGAATCACTGCGTCGCCATTATTGCCCGCTCCAATCGCTCTTAAGACCACTGCTTGACGTAACAAATGCATAAAACAAAGTGCTGGTGCACAAAAAACAAAATCATCATATAACTATCAGCTAAACGGAGAGCATGGACCGCTTCTGGGATAAAAAAAAGAGCATTAATTTAACTAGAAATAATATTTGGAGTTGGCTATAATATATCCACTTTTGAATATAAACTGTTGAAAACAAATGCTCAAACGAGTCTTTACTCAAGCATGACAAAACTAGCATTTTAGATGCTGTGCAATGAGATTGGTCCTTTGGTTGGTCCAGTTTTATGCTGTCCTATATCACAAGTCTTTTTTGATGCTCATTAAGGAATTTATTCAGTAAAAGTTTTTTCATCATACTTTATGCACATGTTTTCTTCTAGGCTAAGAAATTTATCCGACTTAGTTGAGCACATGCTTTTTTATGCGCATTTTTAGAATTGATATGCATCTTTCCATCCAGGGTTTTTAATGCGATATCCCAAAATGCATATAAAAATAGGTGGATGGAAACATAGCTATTGAAGCTCAAATGTGTGACGTTCTGTTTTCCATATTTAATGCACCATTACCATATTTGGTGCCATATCTTAATCAGTCTAAACTTTTATTTTGGGAGACGATATATGTTGTCGCTATGTTGTATTTTTGTATTGCGATATATTGTGAAATGGTATGTAGTTGCACCCCTAGTTGTCTGCATTTTCAGATTTTTCTCATCCATTGTTTGGTGCTGTTATGACAATTCGTTGTCTGTTGAACCAAGGAATTTGATTCAAACATGTCCCTAGATGCACTCGATGTCAAGCAGCGCCTGTTAACAATGTAAATAAACACGTTTTGTGTAGAGATTGAGAAGGTGGCAATTAATGGCCGATGTACAGTGTAAGGGGTTGAATAAGGATGGGATCCGGGGGGCCCTGCTCAACAGACAATGCAGATCTTTCAGCACTCGGTTGTTCATTCATACCGGCTGCAGCAGCCCACCCACAAGCCGCTCCACCTACAACAGGAGCCCCTCTCCAGCTTGATTGACGTCATTGCTGACGCACAGGGCCCGGAGTGGCCCGCAGATCAAAGGCAGCCACGCGCAAGCCTGAAAAGGAAATATTTTTAGCTGGCACTGAGAGGGGGGATGGAGGGGGTAGCAACTGGTCTTTGTCTAGCCCCCTCAAACAGCATATGCAGCATTGTGCTCCTCTTTTCTCCCCTCAATCTGTCATTCGTCTCCCTTCCCTTCTGTTTTGCTTAAGGATGTCAAACCACAATCTGTACGTCTACCAGATTGGCTTCATTCTGTCCTCGGTAACAAGTTTGGTTACGGGGAAAACGTAATCCTAATGCTCTCTCACAATTTACTTCCACAGCTGCCATGTAAGGGATTTAATGCGTTTTCTGTCCGGTGTCCAAAATCATTCTGCATGGTCACTGACATCACATAGGATGGTTGTGTGCAAATGCTCCCGATGGTTTATCAAAAGCCTTTAGTGTGTGTTGTATGGCTGATACACAGGGTGTTGTTTATCCTCGCTGAACCGAACAGAATTTGGGACGTGCTGACTTGCATTGGTGTGTCTGAATTAGTATTTGTCTACAAAATGACTTTTTCTGGTGTGTTCCGTATAGTTGCTCTGTCAGCATTTGCACAAGCGTGTGTGTCCATGGGGGGAAGTGAACACAACTAGAGTGCCGAACAAACTGTGGCTTTACATTAGGCGTGGGAATCGTGAAGAGTTTAACGGTTGTAAGGAATAAAGGTTTGCTAAATGACAAAATCATTTCAATAATAAAATTAGAGCGATTCTTACAAAAGGTGTGTTTACATTTACTTTTCAGAGTCTTTAGAGGTGGCAAAAATTATTTCCAAAAATTGACCTGAAAGCATACTTCACACAAAAATGAAAATTCTCTCAAAGTTGACGCTTCGAAAAAACATGCAAAATGACCACAGTGGTAAGCCATGAGACCGCAGTGGATGAATTGGTGTCTTTTTAAAGGGGTAGTTTACCCAAAAATGAAAATTATGTCATTAGTTTCTCACCCTCATGTAGTTCCAAACACGTAGGACCTTTGTTCATCTTTGGAACACAGATTAAGATATTTTTGATGAAATCTGAGAGCTTTCTGACCCTCCATAGACAGCAACGCAACTATCACGTTCAAGACCCAGAAAGGTTTTAAAGGTCCCCTGAAATGCTTAGAAACATGCAGCGTTACTCTGTGTTGACGTCATTTTAACTGAAACAGGAAGACAGGGCGGGACATATCAAGCAGCCCCGCCCCTTTTTAAAATAGCCAATCGCGTTAATTTATATCACAGCTTGGGCTAGAGCCATTCAGAGCCGTTGAGCTCCGTAAAGAGTCGGATTTGACAGGGTATGCCAGTCACAATCTCATCCATATTGCTATAAAATATAGCATTCTGTGTAGAATTCAAATAGCTCCGATACATTTTGTGGTCTGTGCTGACTCGCGCATGTGATCCGCTCCGTGCTATCGTGTCTCTGGACCGGAGCAGAGTGTGTGCGTGGTGCGGTGGTTAGCATGACAGCGTGACTTCTTTTTTTCCTCAATGGAAAGCATATTTACACTGTTTGAATCGTTCCCTGTCCCCTATATAGTGCACTACGTGCCATTCACTGTACAGAAAATACTAATTCTGTGGACAAGTGACCGATTTCAGCC